ATCATGGAGCCCTCTGGGTGTGTTTGGTTATGCACGTATCGGCTTAGAACCGACATGAACCGCTCGTAGGACCACATTTCATGCAAGAAGCTAGGGCCCAGCGCCTCGATCTGATGTACCAGGTGAATCATGAGATGTACCATTATATCAAAAAAAACGGGAGGTAAACACATCTCTAGCTAGTTCTGGGTCTCCACCATGAATTCATGTAGGTCACTCAGCTCTTGCCTACGAATCGTCTTCTGTGAGATCTTCGAAAAGAAGTAGCACATGCGAGTGATGGCCATCTTTAGGAACTCTGGCTTTATAGCCATGATTGCAATTGGTAGGAACACTGTCAGCATCACATGACAATCGTGAGCCTTGCAGTATGTTAATGATAGGTCCTTCATCGACACTAGCTTCTTCGGGTTCACCGAAAACCTAGTCGGCACTCTGACCCCCCTAAGGAAATTGCATATAGCTCTCCTCTCTTCTAGGGTTAGGTTGAAGCTAGCCGCGGGAAGACTGTACTTGCCATTATCCTACTGTACCGGCCAAAGCTCCCGCATCACGTTCAATTGCACCATGTCTTTCCGTGATCTGAGACCATCCTTTGACTTGCCTGTTTCCATCAAGGTAGCCATGAGACTCTCAAAGACATTCTTCTACACGTGCATCGCATCAATGGCATGGGGGACCTCTAAGTCTGGCCAATAAGGCAGGTACTGAAAGAAGATCGATTGCTTCTTGAATGGTACACCTTCGATGGGAGGTGTGCTTCTATCTCTGATCGTTCCATCCGGATTCTTCTTTCCATAGACGACGTGTATGTTTTGGACCATTCTAAACACATTCTGAACACATGTTTGGGGCCGAAGATAAGAATGGTGAGGAGAAGGTACTTCCTCTTCTGACACAAATACGTTGGGAGGTTGTACATGGTCAAGATGACTGGCCATGTGCTGTGGTCGGTCATCCTCTCATTGAAGGGATTCATTCCATCGGTGCTCAAGCCGAACCGTACATTCCGTGGGTCATCACTGAATTCTGCTTTGTACTTAACATCGAACGCTTGCCACTGGCTACAATCGGCTGGGTGTGCGATCGTATCATCATCCACCTTGCGTTCATCATCCCACCATGTCATCAGTGCGGCTTCCTTAGGGTTTAGGAACATACGCCTTAAGTGGTCGATCACTGGCAAGTACCACATAACCAAGGCAGGAATTCTTCTCTTATTTGTATCGTTGCCTAATGAAGTTTCCTCTGGGGGCTGAGATTCTTGCACCACCTTCTTCCCACCCTTCTTCCTCTTTCCTGTGGAGGCTTCCACCCCACTTTGAATGTCATTGTTCTTGTACCGACAAGCCCCACACCTAGGACATGTATCTAAAGTCTCGAACGATGTGCCACGTCAAAAAAGGATACAGTGGTTGGGGCATGCATGGATTTTTTCAACCCTCAATGTGAGTGGACTTATAACCTTCTTCGCTTGGTATGTGTTGGCGGGAACTGTGTTTGGCCGTGGGAGCAACCGTGACATGAGGCACAATAGATCATCGAAAGCTGCAGTCCGACCAAATTGTATTTTAGCCTTGAGGATGAGTAGCTCAAGCACAAAACGTAGTAAAGGTGAAGTATGTCGGACAACCCTTCTCAAAGATCATACACGGTCTTCTTCGATGCTTTTGTCACCCTCTCAAGATTTTCTAGACCTCTCTTGCTCTTTTCTAATATTTCGGTCCAAATGCCCCAAGCATTTTCGTCCAAGTTGTCACCATCATCCGCATCCCCCACTCGTTGCCGCCATCATTCTGGCACCACCAAGCATCATCACCACCTTGTTCATTGCCAAAGCCACCACCTTGTTGATTACCATAGTCACGATCCATTTGTTGCTCAAGATAAATCTGCGTGAATCGGGACAAGTATGCTTGGGTTTCAACTTCATCGCCTAGATCATCGTCATTTGTCATCAACAACCACTGTTTCACCATGATGAATCCACACTGTGTAGTCCGGAACAAATCCTCTTCTAATCAGATGTTCTTTGATGGTACTCACATCTCGAAATGCAATAAGGTTCTTGCAATCTTTGCAGGGACAAATAATCGTGTCACTATTCTCTTTCAACGTCGCTGCATGCTTCTCTACGGCTTTGATGAATTTGTCCACCTCATCACGGAAAAGAGCGTCGTGTCTTAACGAACCATACATCCAAGAGTTCCTGTAATCCATCTTATAGAAACAAAATAACCAAAGAAAGAATATTACTCGAGAATAATTGTATATACCTGAGACACGCACCATGGTAGTAGAGGATAGTTAATTAATTGACTATTAATGCATAAATATTTTAAAATATAAATTAATTGGTTCAAATAAACAATTTCAAATAAAACAATTAGCAACATTTAATATTTCATCAACTACCTTTCATGCAAACTCCATTCCAATTTCATGGTAGAGGATAATTAATTAATGACCTATTTATCCATAACTAATTAAAAACACACATTATAGAAAGGAATCGAAATAAATATTAAATGATAATTAGTAGCCATGGTAGAGGATATTTTACACATTAGCAATAATTAAAATCTTACACATTCACCTACATGCAAACCCTAGTCACATAAAGGAAAATTTGAAAAAGAAAAAAAAACAAAATCCTAGATCTAGATATAGGGTTTCATGACACATGCACCAAACTTCACTAATACTACACTAAAATCACACAAAGATGTACTAATAAAGGGTGCAATCTTACTTTCCTACCTAATTTACCCTAGTATAGTGAAAATTAGGATCTAATTTCACTCATAACTAGCTCAAGCTCCATGAAAGAGAGAGAAAACCTAAAATCAAATTACTCACTAATCAACGAATTAAACTTAAATAAAGAGTTGGAGAAGCATTTCCTTACCTTTTAGAGCCTCTCCACCAAAGAATTTGAGATCAAAACCTTCCCTTAGTAGAGCAATATTTAGGAGGAGCCCAAGGCCTCCCAACCTTTTTTTTGTGTAGAAGAGTGTGTCTCGAGGTGGAAGAAGGGGGTGGCTGCTATTTATTCGTGCGCCATCAGTAGGGGCGGCTGGTGATTCAGCCGCCCCTACAGTCGGCACTGCAGGGGCGGTTGGTGATTGAGCCGCCCCTATAGATCAGCCCTAACTGTAGGGGCGGCTCAGGTTACCAGCCGCTCCTACAGTGACATTTGCTGCAGGGGCGGCTGGTGATTGAGCCGCCCCTACAGATCAGCCCTAACTGTAGGGGCGGCTCAGGTTACTAGCCGCCCCTACAGTGACATCTGCTGCAGGGGCGGCTGGTGATTGAGCCGCCCCTACAGATCAACCCTAACTGTAGGGGCGGCTCAGGTTACTAGCCGCCCCTACAGTGATATCTGTAGGGGCGGCTGGGCTGCTGGGGCCCGAGGACGCCCACTGTAGGGGCGCCCCCAATCCAAGCTGTCCCTACAGTAAAAATACCCTCGTTCCTGCTGTAAGAATCTGGCGTAGTGTCTGTTACCCGATCGATGCCCGACGGGTACGGGGATGGACAAGAATCTATACCCGAGACAGTTAACGGGGACGGAGATAGGATGAATTCTTCGTAGCGGGGAAGAGAACGTTCCGACGATACCCGACAGGTACATCCCGTTGCCATCCTTAGTTATGACTCGTGCCACGGTCTCAGGCGTGACTAAAACAACTGGTTCCTGAGAATTAGTTTTGAACGTGTTTTTTAAAATATACGCATGCATGCGGCTCCACTCATGCGGTCATTTCCACAATTGCTCTCGGGCCTATCCCGCTAGATGTGGGATGAGGAGTACAGGCCCATGCGGCGGTGTCACATGCTAGCAACTTGTATCCACTCGTGCAGCGTACCAAACAGAATATCAACATTTTTGGTATTCGCTTGTGTAGTTTCACCAAACACCTTCGTTTCTAAAATATTGTCCCACTCTACCTATATCCACTCGTGTGGGATATACAATGCAAACCACCATCCGGCAACACTTCTAAAATGAGATTCACTGGGCATCCTAGATGGTTGGATGCAATGCATCTTGTGCTGATCCACACATTGTTCTCTGGCAAAGAGTCTTCGTATTTGTTCATACCAACAACCAAACGTCTTTACAGGGTTATTGAATCTACAGCAGGATTTCTGTATCCGCCCATGCAACCAACCAAATACTATGCATTCATTAGCGAGCATTCTGCATTGAAAGCAACCAAATATGCCCTGAATGAATTATCTTTCCCCAGTGTTGCCGCTCCAATGCCTGTCCTAATCCTCATCAAGATACTAGCGTTGGAGTCGTCAGGCCAATTATCACCAACAGGGTTAGACTGACGCCTTTTCCCCTACGATTGCCTCCGACCCTATTGTCCACTGAGCTTTCAGCTTTCTGTAAGAGGCATTGACTCGCGGATGTTCCTTCAACTTGTTTAGCTAGCTCGTAGCTACTTCCTTCATTTTAAAGATGCTTTGGCGTTTTTAGATATATAACTTTTGTTATACACTTAGATATACAAATGCAGAGTAAAAATAATATATCTATAAAAGCCAAAACATTCCATAATTTTGAATAGAGGGAGCATTTTTTAAAACTAAACCAGATGAAGTCTAGCTTTGGCTCAGAGCCGAGATAGGCCAACTTGCCATTTGAGTTTTTTCATTTAACCAAACCTCCAAGGTTTCAAGTAAATGACTTTTTTGCATATAAAAAGTACGAATTCAATGAAAAGGGAAAACCTGAAAGCTTGTATAGCTATGCATTGGATCCTAATAAAAACAATATTGGAACAAAAATTCGTAGAAGGAAATCTCTTTAGAGTTTGAAGAAAGTAAAAATCAGATATCTTTAACAGTTCCAGTGCATTTTTTTTCAGTCCTATATCCTTTCCCTTTACTGTTAAAAAATCATGTTATGTCCCTACTTTTCCTGTACTGTTTTCAATCCCTATGTGAGTTACTGAATTCTCTACTCTCTAGCAATTTCTCATCCAATTTCAATAATCAGGAATCCTCATTCGGCCATCTCTGTCCAGCTGCCGGACATTGAGAGAGGAGATGGTCCTCTTCTCATACTCCTCTCTGAAAGCTTTGCTGTTACACCATTGAGCCATGAACTTGTCAAGCTACAAAAGTAACAAATGTTTAGTACAGGTACATATGAGTTCACAAAAAGCCAAGGCATGAGACAACATATAACATTCAAAAAAACACCTGAGCCTCGTGGAGTGCTCCCAGCTCTGTCACCAATCTCCTCGAAGCATAATCTCAGCTTTAGCCAAAACCGTGGGGTTTTCAATTAAGGACGCATTCTGGATCAAGTGCAGGAGAGTAGCAATGAATTGCCCAACACAAGTACTCTAGACATAACAAGACGAACACTTTGGCAAGTTTATGTTTAATCGGAGCAGGAGTAATGATGTGTTCCTGTTTCTTAGCTCAAGCATAGAAGAAAAACAAAATGATGGGAGTACACATTGGCTTATTCTTTTCATGAGGAATTTTAAAGAGATGTGAACTTACTTCTGCATCACGCACTTTTCTCAGTTCCATCAATGACTCATATGCCTTGTCCTTTCTAGCAGTTGCTGCATCTAAATCTTCTTGAATTGATACAATCTCTGTGTCAACAACTCTTAACTCATCCTCTAGGCCCTTAATCTTAGATTTGACTGCTTGATGCTCCTTCCTTATTCCATCAATGATCTGAATGTAGATCATCACTACTTTTTTCTTTCTTCAGAAAAATACTTGTAGAAACAAAAGATGAAGTTGCAGTATAATATACATATACTTGCTCTAACTTGGTCCTGTGCGGCCTCATTTCCGTCCACTGTATCTTGGAGCTTAGCTCGAATAGTAGAGTTATAAATGACCTTTGATCTGTTTTTTTCAAGGTACTTAATTTCATTGGCCAGACATTTCTCCTCACGTAAAGATATACTCTCATGAACTATGCGGGCACTCAACATCTTGATCTATGGAGGTAGAGAGAAAACACATTGTATCATTATTGGCATTGCTGTGGATGCTGAACTGTACACAAATGATTTTTGAGACATTGTCCAAATATTAACCGATGCCTTTACAAAATCCAACCGCCTCGGTTAATACCTGGGATTAACGGAGGCGGTCATTTTTATTAACCGAGGCGGTCACAATTAACCGTCTTGTAAAATCGATTTACGGAGACAGTAAAAAAATAACCGCCTCCTAAAATCTATTAACAGAGGCGGGCCTTCTAAGAGACCCACCTCCGAAAATACCTTCATTTTGGGAATACTCCCAAGGCCCAGCCGCAGCCCAAATCCTACTAGCTAGCGGGCTTATATAAATTGAGGATTTAGGTTTCTCGACCGGATGCCTCACTCTCTCAGCCGTAGCCCTCACCCTCTCCGCTCTCTCTCACACGCCCTCCCCAACACAGATCCCTTGCTCTCTCACGCGTCCCTCTCTCTCAGGCGTAGCGGGCGCCCCTCCTCCCTCCCTCTCTCCCTCCCCTCCCTCGTCGCACGGACCGGCGGCGCTCTTCCCGGTGGTGGAGCGGCCAAATCTGGCAGCGGCGCTCCTCCTGGTGGTGGATCCGGCTGTGGAGCGCCCGGATCCGGCGGTGGCGCTCTCCTCCTGGTGGCGGATCCGGCGGCAACGCTCCTCCTGGTGGTGGATCCGGCGGTGGAGTGGCCGGATACGGCGGCGGCGCTCCTCCTGGTGACGGATCCGGCGGTGGAGCGTCTCCTGGTGGCAGATCCGGTGGTGCAGCGGCCTCTCTCGCTCGGATCCTGCGGCGGGCCCTCCCCCGGCTACGGATCCGGTGGAGGGCGGTCCCGACGAGCGGCAGCGTGCACGAGCAGATCCTGCAACCGTGGATGGGCTCACCAGGCCTGTGGATGGGCTCGGCGGGCCTGTCCATGGATTTTTCTTTTTTATTTTGTTTTCTACGATTAACTGTGACCTTTAGTCTGAGGCGGACGTGATGCCTGCCTCGGTTAAGTTCACAGTAGTAGTGTGACAAAGTTTTAAGGCATACCGTTTGCTCAAGCTCTTTAACAGAAGAGCAAAAACCTGCTCGCTATGCCTGCATATCATTGTTTTTAAGAAACATGCCTAAACGGTTTTGAGGCAGTTCCATCTCCTTCAATTTCTCTGCCACAACTTCATTATATTGTTTGTTCTGAGCTGTCAATGGCTTTAGCTCCGAGATTACAGTGGAGCGTTCCATCTGCAAAGAAGGGATAAGTTGTGAAATGTGATACAACATGGTTAAAGCATGTGCCTCACTTGTCGAGTAGTCCACTCCCATTGATAACACATTTAGGCCGGAAAGAGAACATACATCCATTTAAACATGATAATAGGGCATCAAATCTATGTTGATATAAAATGAAGCATCATGCATTAGCAAGGAATATTTTATTACCAGGAGAAACTAAAAACAATACCTTCTTGGCTCTTATTACAGCCTCAATAATTTTGCTACGAGCTTGGATCTCTTTCTCGAACTTACTTTGAGGATCCATGAGTTTTTCTCTCAACTGAGGATCCTCAGATGAGCGGATCTTGACAAAGTAGAAAGCATAAGTAGATTTAGGCCGTTCCGTCCCATAGTTTTGTGGCTCCATTTTTTGGTATCTCAACCAGGACAAAAGGGGGATATTCAAACATAAACCAAAAAGAGACACCGTAATGGCACATATATCATTTCACCAACCCAACAAATAGAGGGTCCAGATCAAATCCCATAGGAGAACCAAAACTAGGTCCAATATTTATGTGAATCAACTGTAAAAACTAGGTCATCTAAACTCAACACATACAGATCACATCACCATCAAAGCATCTAAATGAATGCTATCACCATCAGCATTGTTTCAAGTGACTATTTATGTCCCATTTGGCATGGCTCCGAACGGTTACAGCTTCTACTAGATCCTAGTGAAACCAAAAATACTGGCTTCATCCAGCTCCTAATTTATTTTAGTAGGAAAGAAAAATGGCTTTACCTGAGAATGACAGTTTAGCAAGGAGTTAGAGCAATTTCGAGCCATGCCATAAGGGGCTTTATTGTACACCTACAAACTAAACATACCAACTCTGGTTCTCCTACCCAAAATTGAAATAAGCTAATCCTTCATCCAATTTCCTATCTGGGAGGAAGTCTATTCTATACCAAGCCTGCACATCATACAAATAGGAGCCTGAGCACCACATGCGAATGTTCTCTCCTTTTTAGCGTAAGGAACGAAAGAGTGGCAGGATTGGTTTGTCACCTGGGACCGAGTGGAGCTATGGGCGTGCAAAAGGCTAGATGTTTGGACTGCCATAATCTGGGATTCTTTTTGGGCTTTGTAGTTTGTGTAGTGTCTGGAACTTGGAGAGTGAGAAATCCGTGTATGCATTTCTTCTTTCTCTGCCTCTCGGCTGGAAACATCAAACGTAGGTAGTTATTCGATACCTTGGACCTTGGCAGTATTGGGTTCAGTTAGAGCTTTTGAAGGCACATCCGCTCAAGATATCTATGTAAATTGTGTGCAATCCGCCATTGCAGATTATACCCTAAATCGGGCAAAATCATGAAACCTAGCTGTTGGCAGAGGCGCCTGTTGCTGGTCCTTGGACATGGCTGAGTATACATCCCAGCTCCAAACCTGTTTTTAATGCGTGGTGCAATACAATTGCAAAGATCAGGGGGTTGGAAAATGCCATTCAATGGGTCACAAACATGTGTTGATTCCCAAATCCCAGAGTCATCCTCGCAACGGATTTTATTTTTCAATTCCAATTTAGTAAAAACCTTTGTGACAGCACTGAAATATATTTTTTCCTGTGAAACGACGGTTTCTGGGAAATCAGCGACATCACGTGTACCCTTTATGTAAAATTATAAGTCATTCCAACTTTATTAGAGAGTCAAAAGATCTCAAGTTTGATCAAAATTATAAGAAAAATTATAAAGATTTATGACATCAAATAGGTCTACTATAAAATATAATTAATAAATAATGTAATGATACTTATTTGATAACATATATGTTATTATTTTATTATATAAATTTGGTTAAACTTGAGATACTTTTGACTAATGACTTAGGGTCTGTTTGTTTCTCTGGTCCTAGGACCTAGAGACTAAAACAGAAACTAAATAGTATTCCCTAATGATGTTTGTTTGAATGGATTAGAGGAGACTAAAGGGCATTAAAACTGCTGAACAAATACTAAAATCCCTTTGATGCAGAGTGGGGGACCGAGAGGGGAGGGGATCGGAGAGGGCATGGGGTGTTTGGCCCCATAAGTCCCAATAAGCCTCACCCCAAGAGACTTCTGCCTTTTAGTCTCTGGTCCCTATTTTAGTCCCTCATATTTAGTTAAAATTGATTAAAATTTAGTCTCAAGTCCCTATTACCATGGAAACAAATAGAGCCTTATAATTTAGGATGAAAGGAGTACATCACAAACCATAATTTCTTATACATTATGGGTCTGATTGGTTGCCTGTATAACTCCTTCTCCAGGCTAAGGGGATGCAAGTTATTCTGCAATAGTTCTTACTCGTAGCAATCCAGTTCTAAATAAAAAATAACGGTGGGAACACTCTTAGGAGTAGTTTATGGCTTTGTTCGTTTATCTTGTAATCCGTCTTTTTTAGCTTATTTTTTCAGTAGAAATAATATTTTCACCCACCAACGATACAGGACGGGAAAAAGCTCGGCTTGTTTTTAGCAACCCGTACGTACCAATCTGCAACCCGAGACATCGTGACCTGGGCAATGGAAAGGATCTCGAATTCATTCACCACACGTGGCGTCGAGACTGAAGGCCGGCGCACTCACCTGACCGCGGTCGAGCGGAAAGGAACAGATCGATGGCGCCGTCGCTCTCGCTCCGATCCGGCGGGGGCGGCGGTCGCCGAGTCCGACAACTCGATCTCGAGAGGGGCGCGGGTGGAGTCGGGGCCGTCAGGAGAGGAGCACTTTGGTTGATGGATGTAATCTCGTGTGTAGCGGGCCGGGCCCAGATGTCGGTGAGCGTCTTGCGTAGGTTCCATTCTGGAAGGTTTTCTCGGACGGGTGCCTCCGGAGTCTGGAGCATTTCCGAGGTGCCTCCACGGCTCCACCGCGCAAGTAACGAGAAGGCGTCGCCACCACCGCTGCCGCCACGACTCGCCGTCAGACTAGGTTCCTATGGCGCGCCGCCGCGTGCTGCTCTTCCTCAAGCCCTTCGATGTATACCCTCCCCGCCCGTACGTCGGGGCCGCAGCCTCCTCTCCCACCTCTGCGCCCTCGACGCCGCCGCAACCGCGCGCCGCCAGCCCCAAGGTCGCACCTCTCTCTCTCTCTCTCTCTCTCTCTCTCTCATGTCTTTGATTATGCTGGTCGCCGTTGCTTCCCGAGGACTGGACCGGGGTGCCAGGGTTCTCATATGTTTGGACGGTCCCATACACTATAGGGTCTAAACTGTGGCGGAGTTCACTTCTTCGCGCTTCGATCGTGAAAATCACGCTATAGGGTATATGTTTCCTTTTCATTAACCTCAATCACAGTGTTGTTCGTTGTGCGGGAGCACGCTTGATCCATTTGAGTTGAGTGAGCAAAAAATGCTCGTCCGAATGGCAGTGGAGTTCAGGCGTTCGTTGAAATGCCTCTACGGATCGTGACCTTTTACTTTTACTTTTTGGTGCCCTGGATAACTAACTAAGATGTGGTGCTAGGCTCCTTGCAGTAGCCATTGCAATAGTACTTGCAAAATGCCGTAGCATGACATTCCATAGGTAACTTGTTGCTTGACATTCCATAGGTAACTTGTTGCTTGGTGAACTGTTGTTGCGGTAATGATCCTTATCTGTTCAGGCCTTTTTTGTTGTATGAGTCTGACATGGTGTTTGCATGCATTATTTTCGGTTACAAAAAGATTCACTTACTCCTGGTCTTATCGGTTATCCCATTTTTTTGGGAAATACACTGTAGAAGTTGTTTGTTCCTGGGGGGCTCTCTTTGAACAATCTGAGTGTGGGGGGTACAACTCCGGATACCTACGGCAGACTACATAGGCTGCGCCGCCAGGGGTGGTCCAGCCCACAAGACGAAGACTTACGGTGCATGGTACTGCTCGACGTATACCGCAAGACGTCAAGGTCGATATTCTGAAGATGCTACGAGATCTGTTAGGATATGTTCAATTTCATGATTCCTGTAATCTGTTATTACTTACCGGTTATTTCCTAGATCTAACCGACTTGTAACCCTACCCCCGGCTATATAAGGTGGGTAGGGGACCCCTCAAAACACACGCAATATCATACGATAGCTAATACAAACCAACAGACCACAGGAGTAGAGTATTACGTAATGCAGACGGCCCGAACCTGTCTAACTCTTGTGTCTCTGTTGCCTTCTTGTTCTTGATTACACGCACCACTGCCGATCAATCTACCTTCGTGGGATACCCCTCGGAGGACTGCCGACGATATTTCGTCGATAGTTGGCGTGCTAGATAGGGGTGTGCGTGCTATTTCCATGACGAACAATATAGTACGTTTTGCTGGCTCTTCGTCCTCTCCAAAGCCCGGCCAGATCTTTATGATCGGATCGATCTCCTGGGTCATCAATGCTGACGGAGACGGAGAGATCATCGAGCTGGTGTAGATCGATTCTGCGCCGACCACACCAGCACCTGCAACAGCAGATCCGATCTTGGAACCGCATCCGAGGTTGTCTTCACCAACAACTCGTCACCTGCTCTCCCGCTATCCGAGGAAGCAGATCGACAACAACGATCTGATCGCATCCATCGATCAGGTCGGCCAGAAGCTCGCCGACTGCCTCTCCCTCGCGGAATCGGCTCTGACCACTCTGGTTCAGCGCCGACCACCCTCTGATTCCGATCTATCGGAGGTTGATCAGGAAACTCCAGGGGTTACGGCCGCCATCCATCAAGATGCCCTAAGGGGCAAAATCGCCGACCAGGTGGGCGACATCTATCCTCTCGCCGACCCGATTGCCGACCAGCTCTAACCGACTGTCAATATGCTGCAAATCGGCCAACGTCCCGAAGCATCCCTCCACACCATCCTGGAGGAAAATCTAGGCTCTGAGTCCCAGGGCTCTACGGAGACTGTCGCCGAAATCGCCACCATCCAACCTCCTTTCCCACCCTTCCGTGGAGGTGGGATCTTTAATGTCAGCATCGACAGCCCTCCGCGGGATGGGGAAACCGATGAGGACCGCGCAGCTCGTGTCAACAGAAACGCCAACCGTGCGCAGCGCCGAGCGAATGAGGCCGCCATTGTACTAGCCGAGGCTGCTCGCAACGGAGAACGGCTCGACTCGCAAGGGAGGCCACGCCCACTTCGCCGCAACCTCGACGACGAATTCATCCGTGTCGACGGCCACGATGTCTACAAGACCCCAAGCGCCAACTTGGCCGTGGCTGCTAATGAGCTCGCTCGGCTCGAGCAAATGCCAGAGGTCGCCAAGGTCACCGCAATGCTTAAAACTGCGCACTGCTAGGTCAACGAGATCCGTCAGGATCAGGGACCTTCCTACTCGACAAGCTCGAATCGCTGATCCACCGCGCCAAGATCCAATCATCGCCTCGGCAGAAGCCGTTTCGCCGATCAACATCG